CAACCTCAATGTTCAAAGTTTGGGTAACATAACAAACGTACATTGAGTCACGTTGACATCTAGAGAATATATTGTTCCTAAGTCGTTTGTAGACAAGTCTTCTCCAATCCTAACTCCTCTCCGCTTGCAAGGCGAAGTCTTGTCCTGTGAGGTGAAGTCTTCTCCGCCTGCAAGGCGAAGTCTTCGAGAAGACTTCGCCACCTGCGAGGCGAAGTCTTCTCCGCGTGCAAGGCGAAGTCTTCTCCGCATGCAAGGCGAAGTCTTCTCCGCGTGCAAGGCGAAGTCTTCTCCGCATGCAAGGCGAAGTCTTCTCCGCCTGCGAGGCGAAGTCTTCTAAGTCTTGCTTTCATGTAGAAGAAAGCATTAACGCAGGGGCCACCGATGACTCTGATAGGGTGACACCGAAGACCCCTGCTTTCGCCTCGCAGGGAAGATCATGCTTTCGCCTCGCAGGAAGGATCATGTATTCGTCTCGCGGGAAAGATCATATCTTCGCTCCGCAAGAAAGACCTGAAGACTTCCTGCGTTGGGCTTCAGCCCGAAGCCAGTTGAGAGGACAAGCCCAGATATCTCCAGAAGATAAGCATAGCAGCTACGAAGCGACGYCGTAACGACSGCGGGAGCTTGGAGTCTCAACGCTGAAGCCCAGCCCAGTTGCAAAGCCCACTTCGGCGCAACCAACATGGACGAAAAGAAAATCCGCGAAGACTTAGGAAACTTAACATAATCCTTTATGGAAAACTTAGCCGACTTAGGAACACTATATATGTCGATGTATAAACCCTTGTAAAGGGATCCAGAACTCTGTTGACAAAAGCATACACAGCAATAAAAACGTTTCTCTTTGCTCATCGTTCCTCTCGTATCTTAACCTAGAAATCTCTGTTTCCTCACGAAACCCTTACAAATCTAGTTGTGCTGGTTTTAGCCTCCACAATTTGGCGACGTCTAAGGGGACCTAGAGACTTTCTCCCACAAAAAGCTACGTTACACACCAGATCTGAGAAGATGAGCGGCGAAGAAAACAAATCGAACAGTAGTAGTGAGGAGTCCTCGTCTCACAGAACCAACCAAGAGGAGGAGAACTCCGTCAAAGCCCCTGCTACCAACGACGCTGCTAACCCTGGAGACATGACCGAGGTCAAGCAGATGCTGCAAACGCTCCTCAAAGAGTCCAACGAGCCAAAGAAGTTCAACGAGGCAACTACAAACAAACTAAAAGCTCTTTCGTGATGGAAGCGCGAAAGACCCGAAGTCGTAGGACTCAGGGGTCGCTTCGACCCGCATCGCCTCAACTTCTCAACACCTTGTGCTGCTCGAAATGATCCAACGACTTGCCGCCACCACCTCCACGGTGGGAATCCGACAGAACTCTCAAACGCTTTGAAGGGGTCTCAGACGAAGATCAGCCACCTCCTCGTCGACGCGCGCGAACGGAGGATGTGAGTGGTAACCCAAGAGAAACGCGTGCCCCAGACGGACGGAGCGTGTCATCGTTCTCCCGGAAAAAAACCCTGCGAGATGCTTCGGAGTACGATGATTACTCCAGCATCGATGAACGCGGACCCTCAGTAGCAGAGCGTCACGAGAGGGAGCAGAAGAACAGGGCGCTAAAGAGATCTCGGGATGCAGACATCACCGAGATACGGGCTCAGATGCAGCGAGTTGTCTTCGACCTGAAGACAACTCAATCACAGGTACACCATGCCTCAGGGAAGGCTCCTGCAATCGCCCACGTACTCGAGAAGGCACGGAACACACCCTTCGCCGAGCGGATCATGAGGACTAAAATCTCTGATCCAGGTAGAGTCAAGTTACCAATC